CTCCCTAAGCACTTTAATAGATTTTTTTCTTTTAAGCCCATATCTTTGTCAAACCTTCATTCCACCTTTACATCATTGAGTTAAACCCCCTATTTCTTTAAGCATACTTACATTAAGAGTCACCACTTAGCAAGGAAATATATATATTTTTTTCAATTCAAGTGGCTCTTATTTTTTCTTTCAACACAGTGAACCTTTCTCCTTATTTCATTAGCTCCACTCAAAATCCCAACCAACCACCCCACACTTTAACTTTTTCATATTCATTACACTTCAAGTGCTTCTAAGAGGTGATAGGGTTCAAAAAGGTAGTCAATTCACAACTTGGGTACGACTTGTAATGTGATTGCCAAAGAAACAGGGTTACAGGCTCAAAGGGGGTTAACTAGGATATACACAATCAGGTGGGTGAAACATATATAGATAGGTTCAACAAGGAAACGCCTATATCACTTTCCAAACCAATTAAGACTACCATTTCGCTTCGTACACACACAAGGCAAGTTCTAGGCATTGAGTGTTAGCATAGAATACACAAAGCCTCACTCACACATGGCACATAACTCAATTCAGTTAGGACCATCAAACACTCTGCTCAAGGTGCTTAAGCCAACTCAAGAACATACATTTTAAGGCTTCATTGCTAGAGTCAACTAATGAGCCTAAGTGTCATATTAAAGCAATCTCTATTCTTCTTCGCCCAAAAATTCCTAAAAAAAAAACTAACTACACCCGGTTCAAATGGAAACCCTTGGAAAAGAACTGTAGTTTAAAAAAAACCAAGGGGGAGTTGATACACTACCTAACAGAAGAAAATCTTTTTTTTGTTCGACTTAAGTCCCTCAAGAGACCCGTCGAGAGGTTTCCGTCTTTAGGCCAAGCCGGAGTTAATTAACAGCAACCAAAAACACCAAACAAATTTATACAATTGTACAACAACAACAATCATCCCTACCCTACACTTAAAGATTTGGCATGTCCCCATGTCAAAGAAATTAAAGCAGAGTAAGGTAAGGGGACTTCCTTGGTGTTCAGTCCTAATCGGAGATGGTGCTAGGATCGAGGTGACACGCTCTTCCTAGCGCCCGGAGCCAGCCCGTGATCTTTTTCTCTAACCTAGCATTTTGAGTAGACAAATTGTCAACTCTAGCACTCAGGTCAGTGACCGAAGTGTGTAGGCCAGCCATATACTACTCCAAGGATGTTATTTGAGTACTCCGGCGGGCCAGTGATGGCCCCGCCTCGGCAGCAATCTGCCCTGGTGGGGCGGCAACATGCATAGCTCCCTCATTATCATCGTCGGTATCATCATCATCCGCCACAGCCTGCTCTTTCCCAACTGTGATTTTGCTAGCCTTGAATGGGGCTTTTAATGGCACTTTCCCATCTACTATGGGATTTTCAGGAACTCGTGAAGAACGACATATCTTGGTGATTTGGGAAGGGAAGTAGAACACTTTGAGTATTTCCGGGGAGCAAATGAACATTTCATCCTAAATGAGCAGGGCCACATCAAAATCATGTTGGGTCATAAAACAATAAATCGCCGCTGCTCTCGGCCCATTAACATCGTTGTGTTGCTGGATGGCAGCAAATGGCTGTTGATGATTGTTAGACAACACTTAGCTTCCGAAGTGAGAGATTGGGAGTTCAGGGTAATTCTCTGCTTTATCCATATTGGATCCCGTCCAGCCACACAGATTGTTTCAACAAATGGTTACCACCAGATGGGTGGGTGTTGATAACCTTCGTAATAATCCGTCTCTCCAGTGAATACTGGCAACCTGTACAATCGGCGGATAGCCTCAAGAGACGCATTCACCGGGGTGTTTCGTACCGTTACAACCCTATCAACATGTTCTGGGCAATTCGCGTAAAATTCCCTGACCATCAATACATTGCCCTCTTCCGGTTCATTAAAGAAGATGTCCAGTTGACGCCTCCTCAATTTTTCATAGATACTTGGGCATTCAACTCTCAAGGCATGCCTATCAATGTGTACTTCAGGCAACAACTTCTTGGATGACTTTGCATTAAACCTATCTTGAGCCGCTTTGGAGACAAACCGAGTGTGGTCAAACTGGTCCAAACTATCCTGAGCTCGAGCTCTGGATGAACCTCCTGGTCCACTAGCGGAGGAACCTGTGGCACGTCTTTTTCTTGACTGATGCATTTTACCTGACAAAACAAAGGCTACTATTAGTGAGGGTGTGAGTTGTGTGAACCCTAGGTGGTTACTCAGACTTCACCACCACCGTGGTCACATTAGCCATTACAGCTCCATTGGGGAAATTTCACAAGCACCTGGTTTGCATGGAACTATGATTTAACACACTTATCCCATGGAAGTATAAACTCTCCCCTCAAATCAACCACTATCCCTTCACAACTCCACCCAACCACAATTAACTTCACACAACAACACCATGCCTTTGTCTACAACATTCTACACATTACCCACTAAAAAAAGAAAAGAAATCCAAAAATTTAACAATAGATACTACAACAACTCAAACATTAAAATTGCAAAATAGAAGGGGACAAGAAGAGAGATGGAAAGCATGATATACCTGATTCTTGTAGAAGTGGAGTGTAATGGAAGTTGGGGAGGAGGGAGGCGGAAGTGTGTGTTTGTGTGTGTGGGAGAGAAATGGGTTTATGAGAGATGAGAAGAAGAAGAAGAAGAAGGGGCGTGGGGTTAGGGTTTTAGAGTGAGAAGGAGGAGTGGAGGAAGTGGAAGGGGGGGGGGGGGAGGGGTTATTTAGAATAGAAAAAAGAAGGAGAAAAATAAAAAAAATAAAAAAAAATAAAATAAGTAATAAAATTAATTAAAAACTTACCTGAGCGGGCAGAATCTTTTTAATTCACCGCGGTCCGATCGCGGTCGCGGTGAAAAGAACGACAAAATAGAATAGTCATAAATCACCGTGCCGTGCCACGGTCCCAGCACGGTCGCAGTGACCCAGAAACAGAATAGGTCTAAAATGCCGCGCCCGGGCCGCGGTCCTACCGCGGTTGCGGTCACAGACTTCCGAGAATTTTTTATTTTTCTCATTTTTTTACCTTTCCGGGGTTGGTTCTTGACCCCGACTTCTCCCAATATGCACCAATCTTGCCCTGTACACTAATAAAAGGGTTAGTTTCATACACATCAAGTACAACATCAAAACACAAACAAAAAAAAAGAAACAAAAGAAAACATGGGTTGCCTCCCACGCAGCGCCTGATTTAACGTTGCGGCACGATGCAAGCTCATATCATCACTCCTTATTTGTGTATTGGGGCTCCTCCAACGTTATCACCACGCTGTCCCCTTTTTTCTTTAGTCATTCTAAGGTAATATTTCAACCTCTGCCCATTCACTGTGAATTTGTTTGTCCCATCTTCAGATTCGATTTCCACAGCTCCACTTGGGAACATCTGCACCACTCTGAATGGTCCTGACGATCGGACTTCAACTTACCTGGGAACAACCTCAATCTTGAGTTATATAGCAGCACTAATTCTCTGGGTTTGAAGTTCCGATCCAAGATGTGCTAATCATACATCAGTTTCATCCTTTCTTTATATAGTCTAGCACTCTCGAATGCCTGGAATTGGAATTCTTCAAGCTCATGCAACCCATTAACTTTGTTGGTACCCGCTGTCTCCATGTTTAAGTTCAGCTGCCGCAATGCCCACAATTCTTTGTGTTCGAGCTCAACCGGAAGGTGGAATGCCTTTCCAAATACCAACTTGTATGGTGATAGACCAATTGGAGTTTTGAAGGCTGTGCGATATGCTCACAATGCATCATCCAGCTTCTTTGCCCAATCAGTTCTTGTTGCATTCACTATTTTTGATAGGACACTTTTGATTTCCCTATTGGACACTTCCACCGCCCGTTTTTTTGTGGGAGGTATGGTGAGGCTACCTTGTGGCGAACTCCATACTTCTCAAACGGGCGTGCAAACGCTCTATTGCAAAAATGAGAGCCACCATCATTGATTATGGCTCGGGGGGTGCCAAAACGTGTGAAGATGTTTTTCTTGAGGAAATTGGTCACCCCTTTCGCATCACTGGTTGGGTGAGCAATTGCTTAGACCCACTTGGAGACATAGTCAACGGCAACCAGTATATACTTGTTACCGTATGAGCTGACGAAAGGTCCCATGAAGTCGATCCCCCACATGTCAAACACTTCCACCTCTTGGATTGTGGTCATTGGCATCTCATGACGACGGGATATGTTGCCCGTCCTTTGACATTCATCACAGCCTTTGACCCAAGCATGGGCATCCTTGAACAATGTAGGCCAATACAAGCCTGATTCCAGCAACTTTGTTGCTGTCCGTATTCCTCCAAAGTGTCCACCATATGGCGAAGCATGGCAAGCCTGCAAAACAGAGGGTTGATATTGCTCGGGGATACATCGCCGGATCATGTTATCAATACATATTTTGAACAATAAAGGTTCATCCCAATAATACGCCCGACAATCATGGGAAACTTTTTTTCAATTGAATTGAGGAGAGATCATGAGGTACAATACCACATGCTAAGTAATTAGCAATATCAACATACCATGGTGCCTCCTCCATTATCACAGCAAGTAATTGCTTATCCGGGAATGTTTCAATGATATCTTCAACCTCCATTCTCTTTTCTGCCCCTTCCAACCTCCAGAGGTGGTCTGCTACTTGGTTGTCTGTTCCTTTTTGCTCACGAATCTCCAGGTCAAATTCTTGTAGCAACAGAACCCAGCAAATCAAGTGGGGCTTTGACTCCTTCTTTGCTATCAAGTACCTAATGGCTGCATGGTCAGTATAAACAATAACTTTCTAGCCAATCAGGTATGGCCCGAATTTGTTGAAGGCAAACACTACAAGGAGTATTTCCTTTTCCGTGACCGTGTAGTTTAGCTATGCACCACTAAGCGTCCTGCTTGCATAGTAAATTGGGTGCATAATTTTCTCCTTGCGCTGCCCCAAAACTGCTCCTATAGCGTAATCACTGGCGTCTCACATCAGCTCGAATGGTTGCTCCCAGTTGGGTGCAACAATGATGGGTACAGTAACCAATCTCTTCAGCTCCTCAAATGAAAACCTGCAATCATCAGAAAACAAAAAGTGCTGGTCTTTTTCAAGCAGCTTACATAAGGGGTTAGCAATTTTTGAAAAATCCTTGATGAACCGCCTGTAGAATCCTGTGTGCCCAAGGAAACTTCTCATTGCTTTCACTGAAGTGGGTACTGGGAGCTTCTCAATCAAATCGACTTTTGCATGGTCCACTTCAATCCCCTTTTTGGACACTCTATGCCCAACACTATGCTTTCTTGTACCATAAAATGGCATTTCTCCCAGTTCAGCACTGAATTTGTCTCCACATATCGTTTGAGCACTCTTTTAAGGTTGTGAAGACAATCTTCGAATAAATCCCCCACCACGGAGAAATCATCCATAAAAACCTCCATAATGTCTTCGACCATGTCGGTGAAAATGGCTAACATACACCATTGGAATGTGGCCTGTGCATTGCAAAGTCCAAAGGGCATCATCCGAAAGGCAAAGATGCCATACGGACATGTGAAAGACATTTTCTCTCTATCTTCCGGGGCTATGAGATCTGATTATACCCCGAGTATCCGTCCAAGAAACAAAAATGGGATCCCCAGCTAACTTGTCCAACGTCTCGTCAATGAAGGGCAAGGGGAAATGGTCCTTTCGGGTGGCTGCGTTTAATTTCCTGTAATCCATGCAAATCCGCCACCCTGTGACTGTACGAGTTGAGATCAACTCGTTCTTCTCATTTTGTACAACTGTCATTCCACCCTTTTTTGATACACACTGGACTGGGCTTACCCAATTGCTGTTAGAGATGGGAAAGATTATGCCCGTGTCCAGCCACTTGATTACCTCCTTTTTCACTACCTCTTTCATATTCTGGTTCAGCCTTCGTTGATGTTCCCTGGAAGGTTTGTGCCCTTCTTCCAGCCGAATCTTATGCATGCAGAAGGTCGGGATGATACCCTTTATGTCTGCCATGGTCCAACTAATGGTAGTTCTGCATTCTTGCAACACCTGCAGTAATTGTTCTACCTGCACAACTAGCAAACCAGATGATATAATAACATGCAAAGTAGAATTGGGACCCAAGAAAGCATACCTGAGGTGGGCTGGAAGCGGTTTCAGCTCCAGCTGTGGTGGTTCCTCTATTGATGGTTGATACGCTCAAATTACACTTTAAGAAATAGTGTAAGGCGGTCGATGTCAAATATAATAACCCAACAAGGTTGGGGTCGAATCCCACAGGGAATAGGTGTGAAAAGGTTACTTGAATAGTGTGTTGCTCGACTAAAGTCATAATTCTATTCAGTTAACGGTAACAAGAGTGTGAATTAATAGTAACAAGAGTATGAATTGAGTTTGTTTTGAAGTAACAACTAGTTTGAATATTGAGAGTGTAATTAATTGGATTAAAGCAACCAAGGTTGTGTCCCCTTTAATGAAGTGTAATGCTATCGGTGTTAATATGATATATTTCTAATGGAAGGTCCTTTTGATATGCAAATGATGTCTAAATGACTACCCAATATTTCCCAATAGTTGGGTAATATTTCCTCTTTCTAATTTTTCCAAATGTGAAAGAGTTGTAATTACGAACAATCAATTTATGCCAAATAAAACCCACTTATTCCTAAGCGATTTTATTAAACAAGGTTTAAGGCCTTGAGTCTTTGATATTTACTTCTACCAAATTCTAACCCACTTTCCCAAGCAAGAAAGAATTTAATGGCACTTGTTAGTGTTTGCAACCACCAACAATAAATGAAGAATGAGAAGTAAATAAATATCAACCAACCATTATATATATATTCAATGTTAAACACCCATTAACATAACACCCATTTAGGGTCCACAACCTTAGTATTTAGAGTTAGCTACTCATACTAAAATACAAAAGCAAGAGAATAATAAATGCCATAAAGCTTACAAAGTGAAGATTCTTGACCCAAAAGATGCCAAAAGTGAAGAATATTTAAGTCTTGGAATGTAGCTCAAAGACCAGACAAGATGAGCCCACAAAAACCTAATAAATCTATTTATAGTGCACTGAAAATCGGGACAAAAAACGGACAAAATTTCCCTTTCAGGTCAAATATGCGACCGCATTTCTGTCTCAGAGAGAACATGTGGTTCGCATTTTGGACATCTTCATCGCAGATTGAAACCTAAGTTCTAGGCCTTCACCGCATTCTTGTTATGCGGTCCGCATTGTAGGAATGCGATCGCATATTCCATCGCTCTTTCTTCATTCAGCAGCCTTCATGGTTGGTTTGCGGTCTACTTTGCGGCTCGCAGACAGGTTCTGCGGTCGCAGAATGGACCGCATTCTTGACATTAAATTTTTCTCAGTAGTCCGTTGTGATCTGCGATCTCGGTGTCAATTATGTGGTCCGCATTGTCATTATGCGACCGCATTTCTTCCTTTGCGATGCTGTTTTGCTCTTTTCTTATCTTTTTTGTAACTTTTTGCTTCCATTTCCATACTCTTGGGTCCTTAAACCTCATGTACTGCAAAAACACTAAAATTACATAAATAAAGGAGATAATTGCATCTAAAATAAGCTAAAATCTAAGCAGTTAGTATTGAAATGTGCCGAAATTCTCCGGCACATCAATGGTTTTGCAGGTGGTGTAGATCTCTCTTCTAAATAAAGGGGCTCGAACTCAGGTTCCCTCTTCCTGAATCCTTGGCCTTCGAGTGCCATGACCCACTCTGCCAACCCTTCACCATCCATCTCCTCTAAATTTGTCAAGCAAGCTCCCAATGGATCTTTGGCATTCAGGGTCTCATCTTCTTCATACAGGATCACATCCACAGCTTCCACTAGTGAGAAATTTGCAAATTCACTGGGTCTCCTCATGGATTGTTGAACGTTGAATATTACTTATTCATCATTCAACCTCATTTTTTCCCCAGTTTCACAATCAATCAATGCTCTCCCAGTGGCTAAGAATGGCCTCCCCAAAATGATGGGTATCTCCTTATCTACCTGGCAGTCCAGAATAATTAAGTCTGCAGGGAATACAAACTTTCCCACTTGTACCAGTACATCATCAAGAATCCCTGTCGGTCTTTTAACCGTGTGGTCAGCCAGTTGCAACATCATCAAAGTCGGTCTAGCTCTACCAATGCCCAATTTTGTATATATTGCCAAATGCATCAAGTTTATGCTGGCTCCTAAGTCACACAATGCTTTTGCAAAAGCATAGCTACCAATAGTGCTCTGAATAGTGAAGCTACCTGGATCAGACATCTTTTGAGCCATAGGTCTTGTCACTACCGTGCTGCATGTCTGTGTCAGAGTTACTGTGGACAGGTCCTGAAAGTCAAATTTCCGTGACATCAGGTCCTTCATCATTTTTGTATAGCCTGGCATTTCCCTCAAAGCACCATCAGAGGGATGTTCAACTGAATCTGATGAAGCATCTCCATGAATTTCCTATATTGATCTTCTTTCTTTTGTTTTGCCAGTCTCTGAGAGAATGTTGCAGGCATCACTCTTTGTCCACTGCTTGCCGGCTGTTTTTTGTTGGAATTTTGTGGCACAAGAGGTACCACCTGTTCTGCAACTTGTTCACTTTCTTTAGCCTTACCCTTATCAACCTGAGCCTGTTCAACCACCACTTCAGTGAGTTCTGCTGATTCATCTATCTCTAATGGAACTGGAGTGGCTTGTGTAGTCTCTCTTCTAGATTGAGCAACTTCTTGCTCCCTGTCTAAATCTCTCCTATTCTGGAGACTTACTGCCATCAGCTGATTCGGGTTTTGCTCCTTGGGGTTAATGTTTGTGTCGGCTGGCAATGTTCCTTGGGGTCGGTTATCTAAGGCCATGGACAGCTGCCCCAGTTGAGTTTCAATACCCTTAATTGTTGAGTCATGCACTTCCAACTTTTCCTGCATCTTACCATTTGTTCCAATGAGTTGTTGCAGCATACCCCTGATTTCTACCATGCTGCTGTCCTGTTGCTGATGAGGTGGCTGATATGTCAACTGTTGCTGGTGCTGCTGTTGATAGCCCTGTTGTCTCTAATATGGCACCATTTGGCCTTGGGGCCGCATTTCTCCAGGTTGTGGCATGGTCGGTCTGACTGCTGGTTGGGTGCTGGTCCCTATTGTTGTTCTCCTTGCCTCTGACCCCCAAAATTGTTGACATAATTCATATCCTCTTTTAACCCTTGGTTGTTACCTTCTCCACTCCATAAGACTGATTAATGCAAGGTGTACACAGTCCTCCATTTGTTGTGTCAACGATATGCACTTGCTTTGTACCCATCTCATCAATCTTCTTTGTCAGTATACTCATCTGAGTCATGAGTGTGGCTATGTTCTCTGCATGTGAATTATTTGGATCAAGAGGAACTGAATGCACTATTGGTGTCAGGGTTATACCTCTCGTCATCCACCCCAAATTCTGGGACATCTTGTTAAGAAGGATTTTACACTCTGTGAATGTCTTGCTCAGGAATGTACCCCCGCTGAAGCATCTACATTGGCTTTTAAATTGTCTGCTAACCACATGTAGAATCTCAGGCCGAGCATCTGGTCTAGAATACCATGGTGGGGACACTTCACTAGCATCCCTTTGAATCTTTCCCAAGTTTCCTGCAAGGTCTCAATGGGCTGCTGCTTATAGTGCAATATCTCATCAATTTGTCTTGCAGTCTTGTTGGGCGGGTAAAACTTGTTCAGGAACTGCTTGACTAATTTCACCCAAGTGGCAATGGAATTTATTGGGAGCGAATTTAACCAAGTCTGGGCTTCCCCAGTCACAAAGAATGGGAACAGTAACAACTTGATGGCTTCTGAGGTCACATTTGGCTGCCTTTGGGTCACACAATTGATGGAAAAATTTTCAAGTGTTGATGAGGGTCTTCAATGTGTGACCCGGAGAACAATCCCTTATTCTGTAGAAGATGCAGCATGTTGTTGGTGATCTGGAATGTCTCCGCTTGTATTTGGGACACAGCAATGGCGATGGCCAAGTTGTCAGTTATTGGATGTGCCCAATCATAAAGTGCAGCTTTTGGCACAAGAGGTGCCACCACTGCTACGTTTGGCACTCCTTCGTCCGGCACAAGAGGTGCCCCATCATTTGCATTGATGTTTCCCCTATTGTTCATTCTAGTTGCGAGTTGGTGTGTTTGTTGTGATTTTTTGTTCTTCTTGTTGGCACGGTTTAATGCCCTGAATGTTTTCTCGGGGTCTGAGAGTCCTTAAAGCAGTTCACCAGTCCTCGAAGAATCTCTAGGCATACACCTGAATCACACAAAAGTTCAAACATGAGAAT